AAATCGGGGTTTCAACGCGGGGAGTAAGCTTCCGGGTTCATGTTCGAGTAGCGTAGTGTTTAGGTTTAATATATAAGGGCCTTAATAATTAAACAGGGTCATGGTGTAATTATACCATACTCGAAACATAATAAAGAACCGCCAAAGTAGTACAGGTCATCATTAAGGCCCCTGTGTTAGGTTTAGGGTGTGGGTTTAGGGGCTGCAAGGCGTTGGGCAAGCCGACAACGTCGGCAAACATCTATCCTGCCCCGCCGTGCGCGCACGTCAACTTGTGTGACCATGCCATGCCGATGCTGCGCAGTGATCGGGGCTTAGGGTGTAGAGTGTAAGGGCAGTTGGGGAGGGGGTATAGCAGACTTATGGTTGATGATCTCAATCCTGCATTACCTTATAATTAAGGACCCGAAACGATGGGAATTATGGTATCTTCCTTATATATGGGTCATGCAGGATTTATATCATCAACCGTATGGACTTGATTCTTGAAGTGTAGCGTTGAGTGCTGAGTTCGGGATCGGCAATGGTGAGACTTCGGGCTTTGGCTTAGAGGGCATACTTTTTGTCAGAGGATCCTTAAATACTTGCATAGACTGCATAGAAACTCAGGTTCCAATAGTACGAACTACGACTTTATGGTTTAGGTAAACGTCCTGTATATAGGTACTTGCCCAGACCTTCCAGTATCCCTTGCTTAAGGAATAAACTTTAAACCCTAACCTGATGTTAAGTATTTTGCCTGAAATTCGGGAGTTTGGAAGGTCTAGAGAGGACCTAAACCCTAACCCTTAAACCCCTAAGCCCTAAGCCTCTAAACCGTAAACCCTACCTAGACCCCCAACTACCCTCTATACCAGTAAATACCCACTATGAAGGACCATATGGGCTCTATTAAATGGCACTTGGATCCTGGTAAACCCTAAACCCCTAAACCCTACACCCCTAAACCCTTAACCCCTAAATCTTAAATCCTAAGCCCCTACACCCTAAACCCCTAAACTCCTTGTCTGTTACATAGGACCCTTCTGGATTGCCCCAACTCCTTGGCTTCGAAGTGAACGGGACTTCAACTGCTGCGGCAGGGGATCAAGCGGCCAGTGTTCCTCTTGAGGCTCGCGCGATACAGGGGGTAGGGTTTAGGGCTTCGGGTTTAGGGTTTAGGGTTTAGGGGCTTAGGGTTTAGGGTTTAGGGTTTAGGGTTTAGGGTTTAGGGTTTGGGTTTAGGGTTTAGGACTTAGGGTTTGGGGTTGGCGGTTCCAGATGATGTGTCGGATAGCCAGCATTCGGCTTATCTCATAAGTCATGGAAGCATTCCATCCTTCGATCCCGGGTGTCCCCACGTTTCCTTGAGGTTGCGGCTTAGGGCCTCAGGGACCAGGGCTGAGGCCTTTCCCTAAGTGTCCAGGTACCTAAGAATAATATACTCTCCAGAGAAGTAGCCTACAGAACTCCGGCTCATGATATAAATCCTGCATTGCCCAAAATAAGGAATGTACCATAATTCCCATAGTTTAGGGTCCTTACGGTCATGCAGGAGTTCTGTCATCAGCAGTACTATCCTAAACCGCAGGTACCTGATTATTGGGTCCTTTGGACCCTTAGGGCTTAGACCTCAGATCATGGTTCAGCTTTGGCCCTTGGGGCGTGAGTTCGTATGCTGGTATTTATCCGTCGAAGCGGGTTTCAGGGCTTTGGGTTTCAGGTTTCAGGGTTTCAGGGTTTAGGGTTTCAGGGTTTCAGGGTTTCAGGGTTTAGGGTTTCAGGGTTTAGGGTTTCAGGGTTTAGGGTTTAGGGTTTAGGGTTTCAGGGTTTAGAGCTTCAGGGTTTCAGGGCTTCGGGTTTCACGCTTTTCGGTTTCAGGGTTTAGGGTTTCAGGGTTTCAGGATTAGACTGCTGACACCAGGCAGGAAACACAGAGCATTTGTGGAGGTTTCCTGTTCTACCCCAAGCTGGGACACCAAAGCCGGCATCCGACTTCAAAACCCCAAACCTTCAGATTCTTGAATGCAGACCTCTTGGCCTCTAACTCCCGAGCCCCAAACCCTTATAAATTAAGCCCCAAACTCTCAGATCAAGATCTGGTCGATCAGTGCCCTTAACCCTAAACCCTAAACCCTAAACCCTCTCAGACGCAATCAACCCGAAACTCCTAGCACCATGTCCAGGATTTACCGAAGGCCGACATCCCAAAACACCCAAAACCCAAAGCCTTAAACTGATCCTAAATCCTGAACCCCCAACCCACAGCCCTAAAGACCCTCAAAAAAAATAAGGGAACCCCCAATTCCTCTAGTCCCAAGCTCTAAACCCTAATCCCTAAACCCTAAAACCTATCCCCCAAGCCCTAAACCCTAAACCCTAAATCCCAAGCCCTAAACCTTAAACCCTAAACCGCAAGCCCTAAACCCTAAACCCTAAACAGTCTCTGGACCAACATCGCGACGCTCCTTTGGTCCTTGAAGTGCAACTATGGGCTGCCTCCGATGCCTGAAGCCGGGGCCCGTATTTAGGTTTCAGGGTCTAGGGGTGCAGGGTTCAAAGGGCTTAGGGTCTAGCGGTCTAGGGCTTCGGGTTTAGGGTCTAGGGGTTGAGTGTTTAGGGGTTTAGGGTTTAGGGTCCAGGGGTTCAGGGTTTTGGGTTTAGGATTTAGGGTTTAGGGGTTTAGGGTTTAAAGGGTTCAGGGTCTAGGGGTTTAGGGCTTAAAGGGTTTAGGGTCTAGGGGTTTGGGGGTTAGGGTTTAGAGCTTTAGAGGTTTAGGGTTCAGGGTGTAGGGGTTACTAATTACTTCAAGGGCTACATAGAGGTTAATGTTACGGCTCAACTAATGAAGGGTTTATATACGGGTTATCACAACGGATTCGGGCTCCTGCAGGGTAAAGGTCTGATGGCTTTCAGCTTTCAGGACTCTACGGTTTAGGGTTTGAGAGGTGTTCGGGTTTAAGGCATTACAGGGCGTAGGATGTAGGGTTCAAGGTTAAGGGCTGAGGGCTGTGCGGCTTTGGTTTCACGGTTGAAGGGTTCTGGCATGGAGTTCCGAGCTAACTTAGGATTCATAATTGCAAGGTTTTGCAGCTCAACAAGTTCAGAGACTTGCATACCAGTGCCAGCTTCAGCTTCTAAGCGGGTTGGCCTGCGCTAGTCGTGGTCGTCGCCATAGTAGTAGTCGTCGTCGTCGTCGTCGTCGTCGTCGTCGTCGCCCTAGTCGTAGTCGTAGTCGTCGTCGTCGTAGTAGTCGTCGTCGTCGCAGTGGTGTTGTTGTTGGTGGTGTTGGTGCTGCTGTTGTTGTTGTAGCGGTAGCAGTAGCAGTAGCGGTGGTGGTGGCAGTGCTTGTAGTCATGCGTCACCGTCATAGTCGTAGTCGTCGTCACTGCCGTCATCGTTGTGGTGGTATCGTTGCTGGACGGACGGGCTAACTATCCCACTCGAGTCTACTGTGCCTTGATTCATTGCGCAGCAAACGCTCACCCTAGCTTTCTGCTGGTGCCTCTAGGTTGAAAGACATGTGGCCGTTCAGTCCATTTCAGTAGCCAGAGTATTTGCATCCGCGATCTGATCGTCGCATTGTGCGTGTGAGGTTCTGCTCTTTCGGTTTGGCGCAGCCAACAAACTGTTGATTCGTTGGGGGGCACAACTCGCGACCTCATTATCATCAAGACCCGGGGGGGTCAACCACCAATTTGGTGGTATGCCGTATTATTCAGTTGCCGATTTACTCAGGCTGCCCTTGACGAAGTCACACCTCTTGACAAGTCTATGGCCATGGATACTATATCAACTGTGGTTTATCAGGTCCTCGGCTGTAAGATTCAGCTTCGCAAGGAAGGCCGCCACCACTGATAGGGGATAATGGTGATCATGTTCAGGTCCCTCTAGATCCTTTTCATCCCACTGCTGCCGTGAGATCTCTTCTCAGTCGTACACTGTCATGACATCATCATCCGTGAATATCGTAGTGTGTCGGAAGACATATACTGCCCTTGTCCTGATGTGCGGAGACACTTGCACTTGAAGCGTACGCCCTAAACTCTATGTGTACCTTGCGGAATGCAAGACTGAAGTGCAAAGCCCTGAGCAGAACTTAAACCTGAAACCCCCAAACTCTAAACCCTACAGCTCCTAACCCTAAATCCCTAAACCCTAAACCCTACGGCTCCGAACCCTAAAACCTAAACCCTGAACCAAAATCCTTTGAAGGGAAACAGCACGCCCAGGTCGGAAACCTCATCTCCAACTTTAGACAGTACGGACAGGCGCCTACCCTTTTTCAGGATTTTGTTTTCCTTATTCCCACAAAACTCCAAGGGGTTATGAAAAGCGTGGTTTTCTCCATATAAAACTCCAAGGGGTTATTAAAAGCGTGATTTTTCCTTATAAAACTCCAAGGGGTTATTAACAGCGTGATTTTTGCCGTATAAATCTCCAAGGAGTTATTGACCAGATGGTCGTTCTTCTGGTTCCTAAGGTCGCCTAAACCCTAAACCCTAAACCCTAAACCCTAGACCCTAAACCCTAAACCCTAGACCCTAAACCCTAAACCCTAAACCCTAAACCGTCAGCCGTCGTGTCTGCCGAAGGTCTCGGAGTTGTCAGGGCTTTGAGGCTGCTGGGGATCGGGGTCAGGTCGCTACAGGGCTTTTCATAAGGCTCAAGGGTTTAGGGCTTAGGGTTTAGGGTTCAGGGGCTCTTCAAAAGGCTTTGCAGGGTCCTGGTGGAGGGTTAGGGTTTAGTGTTTAGGGTTTGGGGTTTAGGGTTTAGGGTTTGGGGTTTATCACGATTCTATCCCAAACCCCTAGACCCTCAGACCCTAAACCCTGTTGATGTGAATCTGCATCAGTCATGAGCGGAGCTGCTGTGCACGCAGGCACTTTTACGGCCTAGAGGTGGAGAAATGCTCAGGCGAGCATAGGGATCTGGCTACCAACATTGGTAGCGGAGCGCAAAGCGCTCCAGGACAGTGCGGACATCCAGGTGGACGTCTGTTGTAGAGACCTCTTTCAGCCATGGCCGAAGGAGGTCACTCGCTTCGCTACTTCAGTGGCGAAGATGCCGACCATCGCGAATATCAGCGATGGAAGATGTGGGTTCAGAACAAGATGCTGACAAATGAGAAGTTGGCAAAGGAGGCTCGCGGGCCCTTCGTGTGGACTTTGCTGCAAGGGCGTGCCCTGGAAGTTGTTGAACACTTGTCTCCCACGGAGTACCAGAAGGCCGGCGGAGATAAGGTCCTGTTTGACCTTTTGGACCAGCGCTGGCCCCAGAAGGATCGCCTGGACGAGATGGGCGAGCATGTGGCCGAGGTCTTCATGCTGAAGTCGAAGGAGGGAGAGAATGTTCGGCAGTGGTGTGCCAGGGCTCGGGAGGTCTTTGACCGATGCCACCGTAAGACGGGCATCCAGTTTCCGGATGAGGCCCGGGGATGGGTGGTGCTGAACTGCAGTGGGATGACTGAGGAACAGAGAGCTGTGGTTCTGGCCCGAGGCAACGGAAGCCTCAAGCTGGACGACATGGCACAGGCCATGAGATCCTGCTATCCCGAGTTCGTGGTGCCAAGACGGCGCGCCACAGCAGCGCATTACGCTGAGCATGAGGAGGACTGGTGGCATGACCAGCAGCCTTCCCAGGAGACCGGCGGCTACTACGAGGAGGACCCCGACGAGCCGGACTTTCACGACGT